CCCATTATCTGCGGAGGAAAGCCAAACCACATCCGAATCGGATGATCTGGTGCTGAATCAGCACAGTGCTGACTCAGCAAAAGCAATGGTGTGATCAGCAGTGACTCTGATCACAAACACTGCTTTCTGAGTAGGAAAACTCCTGTCTCGACCTCGCTCACTCTTTTCCTTCAACTGGGCGAGACAAGTACGGTACAGTGGCCCTGCCAATCCGAAGTAAGGTTTATTCCGGAGTTCGGGTGTTCCCCATCCGAGAATGGTGAACGGGGCCCAGTTTACAAAAAGCAATGGTACCCGAAGTCGTGAGAATCATTACCATTGGCTACCGCTAGTGGGTCTGAATAGGTGTCCGAGCGGCTAGAAACGGAAGAGAGAATAGAAGAGAGAGATATTCTATCAATGCGGAGGGGTCTCCTCATGCGCTAGTGAGCCTGAGTAGGGAACTGATTATCCGCCGCTTGTGTAGGCATTTGCTATAACCGTGATGTTCAACGAAGTTGCACAGTGCAAATTGCACTGATATCAATGAAGCAATTCTCTTGTTTTTCCTCGCATACCCGTCGAGTCGCACCATTCTCTCGCCTGCAACAGCAGCGAACTCCTTCTCAGCACCTTGGATGTTAGGGTGTGTACGTTCTGAGTTGCGATGCACGTGTTAACAATGTTACACGTGTCAGACTGGGCACCTCATCGCAGAATGCTTGGAGTGGTGTTTCGCTTGAATATGCGCTAATTTCTGAAGCAGGTCAATCGGAACGTTTGCTCGACTCAGCTCTCTTAAAAATGTTGTTTCGAATTCGCCAATTTGGCTGGCGGACAGAATAAATTCTGGAAAGTTTCTTCTTGAAAATTTCGTTTTGACTTTAGAAGGGCCGAGTGAGGGCGGATCAGCGTTCTTGAAGAGGCTCCTGCGCCTCGTGGACCGATCGTATCATTATTGACACATTCTGTATCATCATCACCATTGCTTGCATCCTGGTCCAAGAGGGTTGCGTGTGGTAGTTGGGGGCATACAAGGCCTAAGTTCTATGAGGAGACTCTCTCAAGCCTTCCAAGCGTTCAAGCGTGGAGATTCATCACAGGTGAACCGTTAGCATTTGCTGTGTTATTAAGAGCGTCATCGCTATCAGGCGACCGACGCTGACGCCGGCATCGAAGGTAAGAAGGCTACTGTACAGTACGAACCTCAGTTGAACGGTGTAGGAGTGCCGGGAGGGCGAAAGAATATGTCGCTTGATGACACTACCACTGCTGATGTACAAGTTCAGAAAGGTGGTCGCAGATTCTCACAAGTTGAAGTGAAGAATCGAAGAGCTGTAAGAGTCATTCATGGAGTATTATATACACTTGTATATTATTCAGATTGTACCTGTATTACGCTCGACCGGCCTGAGTACGATGATCTTCGGTTCGGGTACAGGGAATGAAGACGGTAGAGAACTGAGAGAACGGCATTTCAGAGGCTCCGTTGGAGCTCAGCTGGCGTAGAGTGACGGCACAGGATGGGAGGTGGGAAGATTCTTCCTCAGTCATCGGGCTGCAGCTGCGAGAGTGGTTGGAGATGTGTACCAAGACCGTCGTTTGTCGGAAGGAGTGGCTGAGCGATTCTTCAAAGTAGGCGGCGTCTGACTCCACCTCCTCGTGCATTCCTCCCCTCAGCCGGCACAGTCGGGAACTCTCGGCAAGAGGATGCTACGAATGACGGGATTCATCTTGGTGAGGTTTCCCCCGGCATATCCCAACACGTGTATAAACCATTGAAAGCACATTCCTCCAGTTATACCTCAGCTTGTCATTTTCTGTGATTCACGCAGGTGAATGGTTAGAATGGGAACCTTAGGTGTTATGCATGATGGTGGGCAGTGGATTCATCATAGCTACGAATTTGCACTATTCTACTACAGCAGAGAAACAACGAGACGAATTCCTTCGTGACGGCATTGCTCCACGAGTGACCACTGAAATACAGGTGTAACAGCATGCGTGTGATGATTTGGGCAGTCAGTGCTCAGACGCTCTCAATGAGCTGAGACTATCGAATTAGACTCCGCCGTTTCTGTTGAGATTATCTCTGCATGAGAGACACTTGGTCAGGCTTGGCTGCAAGCTGCTATGCAAGTCCGCGATACGGTCCATTGGGGGGTTAGGACACAAGTGTACGCTGAAGAGTTCGACTACGGTAATGCAGTTATGACAATGTTGCCAATGTTACTACTCCTACTGTTGCTGCTCGAACCTATGGCCACGGCTCTATTTGGCTCTGTTCCGTGTTGTTCTTGAGATGTTGTCTGACCTCGTGTGTGATGGTGGTCTTTATAACAATTAGTGTCACGTTATTGATCAGCAGACTTCGTATGGAGAATTCACCATCTCAGGGACTATCAGACAACTAGTAGAACCAGCTTTCGGGAGGATTGAAGGTCTCATATCCCTCGACCTGGCCTTCTCAACTTCCCCTCACATAGTCTCAGTATTGAATCTGTGCTACGTGCGAATACATCAATATCTCATGCAGGTGAACTCTATCCAGGATACCAATGGTGACGTTGAAAGCATACTGTTGCAAAGCGACGCGCCCTCGTGCTTCTCGATCGGCTCTCTCGGGTGTTTACAGAGGAGTGAGACGTTCAACTCTCATTCAACTGCATGGTATGAAATTGGTGAGCTCTAAACACCCTGTCTTAGCATGAGCAGCCAAAGCAGGTTCTTCCCTGAACGATTCCGACATTCCCTCTGGCTCGATCGAGGCTCCTACTCTCTGGGTTGGTCCGACTATTCGGCCGGATGCGAGCAGTCAATTCCTGATTCCGGTCTTCACTGTGAGACCAGTGTGGTCGCTTGTTCTCATTGATCCCTTTACAGATAATATGGAAAAGCATTTTCCCCAGCATTGTGGATGAGCCGTTCTTGGTCGGTCGTGCTATAATAGACATTCGAGCGTTATCGAGCTTTGTGGGTGACGCTGCTCTTATCGAGGAAGGAAACAACCGTATGTATCTCACCACAAGGCAAGGTACAGTGATCTCGGCCAGACAGCCTTTGGCCTCCTATGTTGAAATCATCGGTTCTGACAGCACTGCGAGGTTCAAGTCCGTATGGGAGGTGAGACGCTGTTCATTAGTCTAATTGTACTGAGGAGATTATGGCTGCGTCACGAGACCGCTGTTAAGCTCAGGTTTCGTCCCATTTCGAGGAGCTCACTGTATATGATTATTCCGATGTATATAATGAGGTTGATGGATTCCCAACAGCACATCTTCTTCCGCTGCCTGGTGGCACCTGTGTTATTAACCCGTTCCCGAGCTCATCGAGTACAGGAGTAGCTTTTGCATTGGTTGTCTTCTCCGAAGTCGACCCCTTCGTGGATCCGACCATGGCTGGGCTTCTGGTGTCATGCGTGGTAGGTCCGGTAGTTAGACTCACCGCTGGATATTCCCGATCATCTCGAAATATCGCGCCATTTGGGTCAGGTGTCATCCCTGGTACCCTATGGGTTGGCTTTGGTTTTGACAATGGTGCTAGTCCTCCGACAGAGAGCAATCGACCGACGATCAGAACAGAGGTCAGTGGTGGTTTCTAAGAATTCTCGTCATTATAGCCATTGTCCAGGCGTCGTGAAGTGATCGAAGCGCATATGACTCTAGCAGCCATGAAATCACAAGGCACGTTTGGGCAATTGTGACTGCTCACGGTCGTTACGTGTAAGATATTCAGATTCAGACCAAGAGTGATTGTGTTGATTTTGAGGGTTGCTCACAATTCGTCGTCTCACTTGGCTGTGCACTTGTCAGTCTCGTCCGTTCAGTGTCAGTCTTGTCTATATTGTAATTCGACTGGATGCTGTATTGGAGGCTCCAATTTGGAGCTGCCTAACCCCAGGTCACCGAACAGGCCCCATGTGACTCCGTGGTTCACCCATCTCACAGGTCTGTTCCATGTCCCAGTCAATTGACGAAGAGGGAATTCACCCCAGTTTCGCGCAGCCCTCAGCCAAGGATCATCAAACAACCGAGGCACTTACGGGCGACCAAGTCCTAACCACGAGTTGTATCACTTTCGCTGCAGGTGGCCCTGACCTCTAGTGAGATTCCCTCGTGAAGATGAACAGTCTTTTTCGTTCTGCCGGTATCTGTGGCCAGTGCTTGTCCCTTCAACACACTTTCTGTCCGTAGCTGGGTCTTCAACAGAGTGTCTCCAACGGTTCACGAAGTCCGAGAGCAGCAGCATGTCTTCAATTGGGACTGAAAATGAGTTTAAGAAATCACGTAAGTTCGCTCTACGAACTTCAGCGATCTCCATTGCGAATAGCCTTGCAATGGAAAGCGATCTCACGGCGGAATGTCCAGACTCAGTATCGAACTGTCGACCTCCAGGTCTTTAGTCTGCCGCTGTATCTGCCGCGCTGCGGGCGCGGCCTGAGCCATCTACGCTGATATTGTTACATTGAGATTGGCCCGGCCAATTTGAGCAACTAGAGAATCGAGTATTTATGGATCTTTCACCACATTTACCCCCTCTCAACCACCTGATGGTCGTGCACGAAGCCTCGCTTTTGCTTCTTATTTCCATATTCAGGATTATCCATGGTCAGTTGTCTTCGCACCTCCGACAGAGGTGAGCACTGAGTGCTCATTCTCAGCTAGATGTTTAACGCTGTAGCAGGATTATTCGGCGTGAAGTTCAATTCGAACCACAAAAACTAGTTCGCTTGCCTCATGAGATGTTTCAGACTCTGATATTCGGAGTCCAGCGCGCCTAGCAACTCACTAGACCCTGACCTGGTCGGAACGACATATCTCCTCGAAATTCAAGCAGAGACATACACACCCCCCTACGAAGAGTGGAACTCTTGTGAAATAAGCCTCTGCCTTGCGACCATTGTCCTTCCTGGAGTCGAAATCTGGAAGTCCAGTGTAATCTATAAAATCCAAGGAAGACGACAAGTCGAAGGGTGGTTAACCCGAAACCCCACCCGAAACCCGGCAACTCGCCGGCGGCAAAGCGACCAGAAACCCGAACTGTTATACAGATGAAATCTGTTATCAAAGCAGCCAGAAACCCGAACTGTTATACAGATGAAATCTGTTATCAAAGCAGCCAGAAACCCGAACTGTTATACAGATGAAATCTGTTATCAAAGCAGCCAGAAACCCGAACTGTTATACAGATGAAATCTGTTATCAAAGCAACCAGAAACCCGAACTGTTATACAGATGAAATCTGTTATCAAAGCAGCCAGAAACCCGAACTGTTATACAGATGAAATCTGTTATCAAAGGCAACCAGAAACCCGAACTGTTATACAGATGAAATCTGTTATCAAAGGCAACCAGAAACCCGAACTGTTATACAGATGAAATCTGTTATCAAAGGCAACCAGAAACCCGAACTGTTATACAGATGAAATCTGTTATCAAAGGCAACCAGAAACCCGAACTGTTATACAGATGAAATCTGTCGTCAAAGCAACAGAAATCAGAGCTGTTATACGAGTGGAAGCTGTAAGCAAGGGCAACCAGAAACCCGAACTCTTGAGAGCGACAAACCTCAACCTTGGATTTTGTAATTTACCCGTAATAATTACAAACTACATGAGAGGCGATGGGTGTTCAATAAACCTCTTCCGAGTTCCAACTGCCCTCCTAGGATCAAGCTCTAGTAGAGCTGCTCCACATGTGCCAGCCAGAGCGCTCCGCTCAAATCTCAGGAGATGCCGCCCTCCTCGACGAACTTGTGGAAACGCAGTAGCGCGCGCCTGAGCAGTCGTTACTTGTTGTATCGCCTCCCTTGTGCGTGACGAGATTTGGTTGATGGGGAAACTGACATTCATCGGTCTAGGGCTTGGTGATCCGAAGGACATCACTCTGAAAGGTACTGCTAGCTTTCACAGTTTGTTGGTCATCTGTTACACAACAGGGTTGGAAGCTCTGCGTGAGGCCGACTATGTTTACCTCGAGAGTTACACTAGCATTCTGGTTGGCCAGAAACCTGATGACTTGAGAGAAGCGTAGTAACTGTTGGGGATATAATTGCATCTGCATGTAGGTGTTAGGTACGGTATTGAAGTTCCATTCATAGAGGCGGACCGACATCTAGTGGAAGGGGGTTGTGAGGAAATGCTGGGAAGGGTAGCAGGCTTATGCGTTAGAGTCATATGAAGGTTGGTGATTGTAGGCTACAGAAAACAACGTATGCTTCTGTGTCGTTGGAGATGCTCTGTGCGCCACTACACATACTGATCTCTTCCTGCGGGCCCGAGCTAAGGGCATCGAGGTTCGCCTCTTGATGATTATTCCTGGTGTATGATCACTAACAGGTATCGGTCGTCCATAATGCCAGTATCATGAACGCCATTGCATGTTGTGGTCTACATCTGTAATAGGGGGTTGTGGGTATCTATAATACCTGATTAGTCTGAGGGTTACTTTCTATGTTATGTTGTGTCCTTGTGAGACTTCTAGGTTCGGCAATGTTTGTCTTGTACGAGAGCTTGAGTAGGGCTGATTCTGCTACTGTTTTGAACGTACATCATCCTACGCTAGGGTTGCACTCGGCAATACCTATTAATTTACATGTTTGAAATGACGTTATGTATGGTTTGAAGAGTTGCTCGAGAGGGTCCATTGCCTCCTAGGTCAGCTGTGAATTCTAGGATGCGCGTTCCCGCAGTTACCGCTTCGGGGAGACAGTATCGATATGCTTCTGGGATGATTCGTGGAAGCCCGACAGCTACTTTGACAAGATAGCAGACAACGCCAAACGCGGGTTACACACCTTGTGTTTGCTTGATATCAAGGTCAAGGAGCAGAGTGTTGTCAATCTCATGAAGGGCAACGAAATCTATGAGCCTCCTAGGTATTCATGCCGTAGGTTTAGTTCCGTGGCGCGTGACGGAAGTTTTCACAGGTTTATGTCAGTGCAGACAGCCCTAGAGCAGTTGATGGAAATTGATGAGAATCGAGGCAGTCCCGGAATTGTCGGGAAGGATTCCCTTGTTGTGGTAGTAGCAGGAGCATTCAAGAGCAACGACGTCACTTAGTCGTCCCCTCAGGGTGTGGCACGTGTTGGTTGCCAAAACCAATCTATCGTATTCGGCCGAGCGGAAGATGTTGCCTCGGATAAAGCTTCGGAGAAGCTCGGTGGTCCTCTGCACTCACTCGTCGTCTGTGCACAGGTAGTGGTGTTGGTAGTAGGATTTTATTCCCTTTTTACCATGTTCAGGGCATGGAAGGGCTCCAGGAGATGGAGGAGGAGTTTGTTGAGCAATACCGTATATAGTCATCAACGTGATGAATGTACTGAACCGTTCCTTGTGGTTTCTCGCATCGAGCTCATGTGTTTGGTCTAGTTTGGTTAGGGAAATTCTTCGCTGTGCGTAATGGTATCTTTGCTGGTGGTTGTAGTGTAATTTGTATCATGGGAAATTCGGAGAGCAGGGCGTTGGTATCAGACTACTTGGATGAGCTCGGTCAGTGTGACCTTGCGGTGGATGCTGAAGCTGCACCTATGAAGGAGGAGTTTTGGACTACTATATTTGGTAGTAGTAGTAGGCCCGCTATAACACGCTGTTTTGTATAATCGACCGAGATGCTCTGTCACTATCCTCTGAGGTTAGTGACAACTCTAGAGTTTATTCGGCATCACTATTTGTAGGGCACCGGAAGGAGTATTCATTCATTTGTTGGTAGTTAGTAGGAAGTCATACGATGAGCTTCTCCTTGGGAATGCTTTCCTAGCGACAAAATCTCAGTGTTGAGCGTGTTGGCACGGTTTGGTGCAGTTAGTGTGGTGACTATCTCGATAGAGATATTCCTTGGAAGCGTAGCATTCGCTTATGTTGTACTGTTACAGTATGATGTATCGTATAGTAGCGATGGGGTTATCGGTAATTTGTTGGGCAATGTGTTGGTGGCAAGATACGCCCTTGAGCATCGAGGAAATCTTTGAAATCATCACTCCGGAGTGGGTGAGGAACCTCAGAGATGAGAAGCCTTATAATATGCAGTTCTTATTGAGGAGGATAATAGAGAAGTTGGAGGAGGTAAGCGTACTATCGATTGAGTGGTGATGATTACCAAGCTAGGTATGTGCGACGGGATTGGTGCAATCAGAAGAGGACGAAGGTGAAAGTCGGGGTATCAATGCTTGTGTAAGTGGTCCCGTAGGGTCCCATGAGCTGACCCAAGGCCAACGGAGTGAGGCCTTACAGTGTGTTCGGCTGTTAACAAGGATAGCCCCATTCCTATTGGAAGATGTTGATGCTGAGAACTGCTTGGCCTTGCTATGGCATTCCGGAGGGTGAGGGGGTATTAGTGCTTGGCCCGCTCATTGGGTGTTGTTTTAGATTAGTCGTGAGGAACAGGGGAGAGTCGGTAGTAGTCGAGCCTGCATCTCCATCAGTCGAGGAAGGTAGAAGAGTGTAGTAGTTAGTTGTGTATGCCTTTCCTTTAGCGGCGGGGGATGATGGAAGTAGCGTGACGTCGAGTGTGGAGGATGTGGCTGATCTTGGGAGGGCACCGCTCATGTATAGGATGCTCAGAGCTCTGCAGTGGTCGTTGTTTCTCAAGGACTTCACCGTGCTGATACCGCAAGGTCAGGGTTTTGCTCACTCGAACTCTCCTGTGATCGACCGTTTTGTTTTGGCGTGATGTCACTAAGAGTAGGTGCTTCCTTGCCTCTACCGACTCACAGAGTGGATTCAAGATTCGTTTGGAGAGGGGGAATCGGGACTGCTAAGGAGCTACCAGTGAATCAGAATAGTAGGATGTTGTTACTGCTACTTGTCATATGATACGACAGATGAGATCATGAGTGCTCGCTGTGAGGTCCTCAAGTGTCTCCTCACTGTGCTCAGTGAGCCTCTTTTCCAGGTAAGCTTAGAACACTCTTGTGGATGAATTGTAGCCGTATTAATAGCATAAAAAACTATACCGGTTAGCATGTTTCTGGTTGATCGCCTTATTTTTCAGCCCATATCATCCTACTCCTCGAATCCCTCCAGAGTGCTTCTCACATTCTGCAGCGGCGACCTGCCTTATACAGCGAATCTATACTGCAGTCTTATGAGCACTGTGGTGGCCTACGACCCGAGGGGATATGTGATACTCTCGATTCCTCGTCGACAGTGATAAGTTAGTTCAGGGCGTCCCATACGGCTCGGCGTTCTCTAGTGGAAGTCAGGAGGCTTTGGTGGATCTGTCCCTACAGGTGAAGGTCCCAGGTTCGAACCCTGGTGCGGGCACTTGTACTGTGCAGGTCTTATGCGCATTGCTAGACTTCAATCCCTCACCGGACAATACTGGATCGGAGATGGTGAAAACCCATCGTACCGGGACTGGCTCTGAGGATGGCAGTAACAACTCGATATCCGAGAGCTCCAACCAAGAGGAGTCGGCTGCTGCACGCAGAAGTAGGATTCTCTAGTTCATTCTGATCTTGACCTTTCCTGGATCATCACTATCATAGAGCTTAGCAGTATGCATGGTTTCAGGGTTTTCCTCGTGTGCCTTCCCTCTAGCTGGTCCGGATGATGATGCTTCCAAACCTCGTAACGTTTATAGAATAATGGCTAGAGGAGTTCAGAAGACTGGTGAACTGGACTTCATGGTAGCGAGGAGATTCTTGGTTCGATCCCTGGTACCTCCATTTTGCCGCACTCAGGCTGATGGTTTGGTCCGAATCGTGACGACAGTTGATGATGCTAAGCGAACATACCTCCCGAGTAGCAGAAAAGTTGTAAGGCCACTTCACACATGGCATCAGCGATCAGTTACCACTGCTAGGTGCCATTCTACCAGGAGGCTCTCATATTGTTGTGGCACTTGATTACCATCAACTCAACCTACAGGAAGAGGCTCTGTATTCGCCATACTGAAGACGTAGGAGTCTGTTCTGTGAGGGGAACTTATTCATAGTCTCATCGTATTGTCGTGATGAGGAGTCTTCTATGACACTCGTTACTGCAAAATGTCCAGTGTTGTTGTTCATGGGATCATGTTATCCCCAAGCTCCCCAGATTCTCCATCCCCTCCTGGACCTTCTAGTGTCCTCTCGAAACTCTCAAGCCAAAATAGGTCTCCTTCATATGTGCAGTTTTATCATACTTGTTCTGAGCAGCGGTAGGTTACTGCCGTTCCATCCGGTTACGTGGAAAATACCTTTCTTAGATCGCGACTTTGCAGTTGCTTTGAATGCGCCATTCAGGGGTAGCCGCATCCAGGATGTTCCCGTGGTGAGTTCATTTGGCTCGCCTCGCTCCCCCGCCATTGTTTTCGGATCAGTTCACCGGCACTTGGGCGGATCTGATGACTTTGAGTATTTATCGAGTCGTGTCGGACGCGTTGTTTGTCGCTGCCACGGCGAAGTCCCCGACAACAGGGGCTGAGAGTTTGATAGATATGATGCTCACTTCCCTCTGCAACATGTAGGCTCTACGCTTGGAATTGGTCCCGCTTAGATGGGAATGTGGTTCAGTAGATAGTGTGTGTTGCTCTCATTCTCGAGATTGTTGGTTCAATTCACCCTTTCAGCTCGGCGTATGTGAGGACCTTCTGCCTCGAGTCATGTATAAAGATCCTCAATCTCGTGGAACGGTTTTCGAAGCCCCACTGGTTGTTCAAAGGGCCTCTCAACCACAACGCTGTATTCTTCCTCGTCGAAAGCCTCAACAATGTGGTAGGGCTCAGCCCATGTGCTGATTAAGTTCTCTAATAATGATATCAGATCCAATACCAATACGAGGGGAACCACCAACTGGTGTACTCGGTCCTCCGACATAAGGAGGTCTTCGACTCGCTCAAGCAGTTGAGGGTGAGCCGTTCATGTCTCGGCTCGAGTGGATCTCAACATGCTTCTGTCAGCTGCCTAAGTCGAGCCCTTCAACCTCTACAGTGCCCTCCATCGTTGATGAATCGTCGATGGAAAGCGACAATGCTGCTGCAGGTCAGGAGAAGAGCTCTCAGGAGACTAGTGAGTCCTGTCCGGTCGGCCCCCCTCGTTCACAGTATATGGTGTAGGCGCACAGCAAGCAGTGAATGAATTCGACGAGTATGGCAGAGCTGTTGGCAGCCCAGAATCACGAGTAAAGAAACAGACAGCGCTGATGCATCAGGCAGCAGGCGCTAGTGGTATGAACCCGATCCCATCCTAAATGAGCTGGGGTTATATCTTTATATAGGCGATCCTTCTGTTGCCGAGGACAAGTGGGTCCCGACAGAGGCGTGGCTAGAAGAATGGAAGAACAAATTGATGCAGAAAATGGAAGCTATTTATCGCCTCTTCAATGCTCTGTATCCCAAGGTCGGTCTTGGTTATTCTTTCGTAACTACAGTATGTCGTTTTCAATAGATTGTTTCGGAATGCGAATCTGAAGGTGTAACGGACCAGAATGGTGTGTTAGAGCTGCTTAAGGATACGACCATGGTCGGGATCCTCCCCGTGCCACACCCAATAGTTATCAGAACCTACCAGCAGAATGCCTATACACAGCTCTGGTTCACGAGCTATCTTTGGGGTGTCATTTTTACGAGGTCCCAGGCATTGCCGTTGTACGACTGGAAGAAGATTCAGCTTATTTTGATCAATCAGTAGCAACAATTTTTCAACGCACCAAGCAAGAGCGTGTCTCATTGTGAATTTCCATTCTGTTTGGTTCATTTCTAACTGTCGAGCCACTGAAGTTTTTTTCGTCGACTCCAAAGACTCAATAAACAATGAGCGCCTTGTTCAACTTCCAGTCACTACTAACGGTCATTCTCCTCACCATCTGCACATGTACATTGCTGAGACCCAAGTTTCCTTCGTTTATTGATAATCACAAGCCCGGTTTCGTAGGTAAGTAATACAATTGTAAGGCCTCCTTACGTCATCGCCGTCTTTATTTCCAGGCTTCTTCGGTCGTTTTGCAGTCCTAGGAGAGCGATTGAGTGCGTACGTGTCGCTAGCGTGTATCATTATGGCAATAGTGACCTTATTTCTACGATAACTGAAGTCTCACTGCAATTGCCGCCACCGTTTATTGTTGAGTGTTCAGTGGAGAGTGTTTGCGAATTAAGAATCGGACCTGTTGCTGTCTCTCGAGTCGGTACAAATACTGGTTGGTAGTGCTTGCAGAAACATATGTGATTTAAGGGAGCAGCAATGAGTACTCTACCAATCTCTGCTGCATTGCCCAATACTCAATCGCACACTCAATGACGAGCACTAGGTCATTTCAGCACGAGCATCTCAACTGAAGTAGCTCGTTGACTAACTTATTTTAGTCAGCGTCAGGTGGCTATCTATGCCACACGGAAGCAGAACCATCTAGCTGGGAAAGATCAACTAATTATCGAAATATTGTTGAAATCGTTCATCCCTAGACGATTGTATGCAAGTCTCAAGCCCTATGCCGACCACGCCAGCTTGTATAGTCAACGCAATAACAATTTGGTGGAATCGTCAGTGTACAAATCACAAATGTGATGACCACAGAATCATCGCCACGTAGCCAGAGCTCTCTTGATGTGGCCGTGACTGCAATGACCTTCCATCAGGGTGGACCAC